GCAGGAAACCTTCACCAAGCTCCTGGGAATTCAGTCCCCAAAGATGAAAGGACAATCTAGGGTGAAATCCCAGGAAGCCCCAGACTCAGAGACTCAGCACAGGGATGCATCCTCACCTCACCCAGAGGAACCAGAATGAGCTGGGATAAAGTCAGCAAGTCCTAAGTCTAACTCATCACAGATACCAAAAGCAAAAATCCACAAAAGGCAATGATTTCTGCTGATACTAGTTTTGTTTTTTCCCAAGAAAAGCAGGAAGGAAGAAGCAAAGTTTTAACACCTGGGCATAAATTCACCCAGATGCAAACATTGTTCTTGAGAAAGAGAAGGAAGATACAGTTCAAAATCCAGGACTAAATAGCTGTTCTCCACTGGGCCACAGTTTTTTTGTTTTTTTCTTTTTTGGTGGCAGGGACTGAACTCCGGGCCTTGTTGCATGTAAGGCCATATGCTGAAGTTAAACATTACTCACTATTGAATAGTACATTTAAAACCTATTCAGATGTTGTTGGGTTTTTTTTTTGTTTTTGTTTTTGTTTTTTTTTTTGTGTGTGTGTGTGTATGTGTGTGGTGCTGGGGAAGGAACCCAGCCCCAGCGCCTTATGCATGCAAGGCAAGCACTCTATCAACTGAGCTATATCCCCAGCCCCCAGGTAGTAATTTTTGTTTTAATATCTATTTTTTAGTTGTAGTTGGACACAATACATTTTTTTATTTGTTTGTTTATTTATTTATGGTGCTAAGGAGCAAACCCAGGGCCTCGCACATGCAAAGCAAGCGCTCTACCACCGAACCACAACCCCAGCACCCCAGATGGTAACTTTTTGAGGTTTTGTTTTTTTTTTTAATATTGCTGCATTTAATTTTACATAATAATGGGACTCATTGTGCCATATCTGCACATGCACATAATTTGATCAATCACATTCTCTATACATAAATCCTCCCATTTTGGGGGTGTGGTACCAGGGATTAAACTCAGAGGTACTCAACCACTGAGCCACATTCCCAACCCTATTTTGTATTTTACTTAGAGACTGGTCTCACTGAGTTGCTTAGCCTCTGGCCATTGTTGAGGCTGGTTTTGAACTTGAGATCCTCCTGCCTCAGCCTCCTGAGCTACTTGCTTGCGTCACCACGCTTAGCTCTACCCACTTTTCTTTACAATTAAAATTTTGTTTTAGAATAAGGATGTAGCTCAATGCTACAAAGAGCATGTTTATTAGCATGTACAAAGCCCTGAGATCAATTCCCAGCACCAAAACACACACACACACACAATTGTTTTTAAATGGTTAAGATGGTGTATTTTATGTTATGCATACTTTGCTATAGTAAGTAAATAAATATTTTAGAAAACATTACTCAACTAAAAAATAAATATTAAAAAAAATAATAAAAAAAGAAAAGAAAACATTACTCAAGCCGGGTGTGGTAGTGCATGCTTACAACCCAGGCAAGGCAGGAGGCTATCAAGTTCAAGGCAAGTCTCAGCTACTCAGCAAGGCCCTAAGCAAAAGAAAAAATTTAAAAGTTCTGAAGATAGATATAGCTTAGTGGTAAAGCACTGCTGGGTTCAATCCCCGGTATCAAAAAAAAAAAAAAGAAAACATTACTTAGGATTGAGGGGTGGCTCCGTGGGAGAACACTTGCCTAGCATGTGATGTGCAAGGTTCTGGGTTCAATGCCCAGCACCATGGAAGGAAGGAAGGTAGATAAGGTAGGTAGATTACTCAGAATCGCACCAATCAGACTTTAGGAAAAAACACTTCAGGAGTCTTTGGGAATATGTCCCCATGATAACACAGTCCAGTCTTTTAATTGCAAGTGCCCATGCAGGTCACTGAGAATGGAAAAAGTTAAACTGAGATCAAAGACAAGGACCCAGACTAACCATCCATTTATATGTAGCAGTGAGAGTGGGAGGCAGGGTGGAGATGGAGGAACAAGTATAAGGGGTGGGTGGCCTGCCTCAGCAGAATCCAAGTGGAAATACATTATCACTTATGCGGCATCCAAAAACCCAACTAAAGCAAACTACAATTATCTTAAGACAGTGCAACAATTAATGCTTCAGCACACATTTACTAACTACCTACCCTGTACTAGGTATGAGACTTCATTTGCTATTCACAGTCTTTCCAAATTTCATAGAAATACCCAATTAAGATTTACATTCATGGGACTGGGGCTTTGGCTCAGTGGTAGAGAGCTTGTCTAGCATGCATGAGGCACTGATTTGATCCTCAGCACCACATAAAAATAAATAAAGGTATTCTGTCCATCTACAACTACAAAAAAAAAAAAAATTAAAAAAAAAAAAAAGCCAGCCTCAGCAACCTAGTGAGACCTTAATTCAAAATAAAAATGGAAAGGACTGGGGGTGTAGCTCAGTGGTAGAGAACCCCTGGATTCAATCCCCAGTATTGAAAAAGAATTACAGGGGCTGGGATTGTGGCTCAGTGGTAGAGCGCTCGTCTAGCACGGGCAGGATCTGGGTTCGATCCTCAAAACCACATAAAAATAAAGGCATTGTGTTGTGTCCATCTACACCTAAAAAAAAAAAAAATATTTAAAAAATTACATATATTAGCTGGGTATAGTGGCAAAAGCCTGCAATCCCAATGACTCAAGAAGCTCAAGCAGGAAGATCACAGAAGTTTGAGGCCAGCTTGGGCAACTTAGCAAGACACTATCTCAAAATAAAAGTAAAAAGAAGAGTTGGGTACGTAGCTCAGTGGTAAAGCATCCCTGGGTTCAATCCCCAGTACCTTAAGGAAAAAAAAAATTTACACACATTACTAAATCACAAAACAGAAATGGTAATAAACTAACAAAATACAGTCAGTCACGTAATATGTTCAAGATAGTGTCTAATAGTGGCCCTGCAAGAGTGCATGGAGCTGATTCCTATCACCTGGCCATAGCACAATACATTTCTCATGTGTTTATGGTAATACTGATGTAAATAAACCTGCCTCACTGCCAGCTGCATGAAAGTATAGCACAAAGCTGAGGGTATATTTCAGTGATAGAGCACTTGCCTACTATGTGAGGCTGAATTCAATTTCCAGGACTGCCAAAACAAAAAAAGTTAACTGTCAGAACAGTCTTATACAAGTCCTTCAGAAGGTATTCCACGGATTGGGTGCAGAATCTGTCTAGTTTATACAAAGCCCTGGGTTTGATCGTTAGCACAGAAAAAAATAAAAAAAACAAAGCACAGAAGGTACTGCAGAAAAAGACATTGCTACAATAGAAGATGAAAGATTCATGACTGTTTTGCCCCTGAAGATCTCCCATGGGACAAAATGTAGGGGTGAAAGACAGTGACAGTGATGGTTCTAAGTCTTTGTGGGCACAGATTAATGTGTTTTTGGAAAAAAAAAGTTTAAAAAGTAACAAGTTTAAAAATAAAAAACATAGAATGAGAATATAAGTAAAATATTTTTGTATAGCTGTACAATGTTTGTGTTTTGTTATTACAAGAGTGAAAGGTTTTATAAAATTTTAGTTTATAAAGTAAAATTGTTATAGTAAGTGAAAGTTATTGCTGAAGAATTTTTTTATATAAATTTAAGGTAGCTTAAGCATACAGTGTTACAAAGTCTGAAGAAGTGTAATGTCCTATTTATATGTCTATCTTCTTATTTATTTATTTCAGTACTAAGGATTGAACCTAGGGGTGTTCTACCACTGAGCTACATCCTCGGTTTTTTTTTTTTTTTTTTT